CACTTGAATTTAGGGGTCAGGAGTGGCTTCCATAGAAAGTGTGAGTAGGAATGAGTTTAAGTAGAAATTAGCCAGGGAAAGATGAGGACTAGGAGTAATCAATGTTCCAACTAGAGGAGAAGAAAAGTATCAAGTGCTCAGAGACCCACAAAAACAAGATCCATTTAAGGAAGTGGACATAGTGCAGTTGATTAGAACATCACCTGGAGGAAGGTAGGAAGTGGCCATATTATCTAGTGCAAGCTTATGCTCAGTGTCTGCTGTAACTCTCTTTCACTATGGTGACCACTGATGAGTTGGTTTTTTTTTTTAAGATTTTATTGATTTGTCAGAGAACACAAGAAGGAGGAGTGGCAGGCAGAGGGAGAGGGAGAAGCAGGTTCCCCGCCAAGCAAGGAGTCCGACACGGGACTTGATCCCAGGACTCGGGGATTGTAACCTGAGCCGAAGGCAGACACCCAACTGACTCAGGCACCCAGGTGTTCCCACTGATGAGTTTTTAAAAGAAGAGTAAAATAAACAGATAATCATTTTAGAAAATTTATACCAATGGCAGTATGGTAAATACTAGACAGAGAGAAGAATTGAATTTTTTTAAAAAAAGGAGCTTTTAAGCAGGATTACTACAATTATTATTGTAGTAATTGGATGCAAGAAAATGATGTCTTGATTTAGAATAAGTGGTTTATCTGCCAGCAGAGGTGGATGGAATTAGATATATTTGAGAGACTTTTTGAAGGTATAATTAATAGGACTTACTCATTGGATATGACAGGCAAGGAAAAGAAATGAGGTGAAGATGGCTTCCAGAATTCTGGCTTCAGTAATTGGACATAGACATGTCATTTATTGAGAAATCAAACAGCAGAGGAACAGCAGATTATAAAAATGTTTTTTAAATCCGCAAATTTTTGACACTCCTTCCATCAAGAGGTGGTTATCTACGTCCCCTCCCCTTGTTGATGGCCTCAATGAGTAGGAGACCGCAGAAGTATGACTCACAAAGTGAGGTTAGAAAAGACCATGTGGCATTTGCCTACTTTTCTCAGGATACTCAACCGGGGAGGTTTGGCCGCCATGTGAGAAGATCAGACACATAGCTATTGTAGTATTACTCAGCCTAGGCACCAGCCACATGAGTGAAGAAGCCTCAAAGATGACCCCAAGCCCCAACATGATCTGGGTACACACACATGAGCTATCCCAGGGGGCTGAGCACAGTCCACCCCCTCATTCATGCACAAAATATGTGATTATTATTTTAAGCTGCAGAGTTGTGGTGGCTTATTACACAGCAATAGATAGCCAGAACAAAGATGATGAATTAGATTTGGAGCATATGTTTGGAGAATCTGGAGATGTTTAAAAAGCAGTTAAAAATTCAGATCTGTGGGTAAAGAGAGAGCTTTGGGCTCTGAAGTTTACTTATGTCCTTCCCAGGCTCTTATCTGTCTCAGATTGTGTGTGTCACATTTGCAAAGCAATTCCACATTCTTTATTTGATTTGATCTTAATAATAACCCTTTGAAAAAATGGGAAGCATATTATTATACCCATTATGAGTTGAGAAAGCTTTTATGATTTATAGAAAATCCTGCGGCCTGGAACTCAGATATAACAAAGGTCTTCTGATTCCCAGCACATGCTGCTTCCATTGCACTCTGCTAAGTGCTATGAGCAGATGAGGAAGATGCCCAGTAGTGAAGGGTACCTGAAATCAGAGAGCTGAGAGACTCAAGCCTGAGGAGGGATGAAAGAGGAGATTTAAAAATGCTTCTCAAATTTTTCCACCAAATATCCCTTACCAGGGAGGAGAGAACTACTATGTCCCCAGGAAGATCTAGACATAGAGCCCAAAAGAAAGTTCTTTGAAGTAATTCATTCATATATTTAACAATTATTTATTGAGCCCCGGCTACGTTCCAGGCACTCTGCTGGGGTTTAGCACAGTACATGGTCTCTGTCCTCATGTCCTCTCAAGGAGACAAACAACCAAACAAGCAATTCACCAATCATAATCGGGAGGCTTACAGGAGGAAGTTACATAAAAATGGCAGCCTACAGGAGGGGCAGAGGGAGAGGACGGTGCAGTGAATCCTGGGCAGAAAACCTAGCCATAACAGAGAAAGCACCTCCTTCAAGGCAAACAGCAAAGTTAAATGTAAATGGATATGATTAATAGGGGAGAAGTCATAAACTGGGAATAAGAGGACCATCTGTGGGCATAATCTATGCAGGAAGAGATTTAGACACATTGCCCTTGTGTCTAGATAAAGTCCTGAAATATTCCAGTTCTCTTAGCAGCACTATCTTTCCCAAAGTTGAATTAATATTTCGTATCAGCCCCCACTCGCAAAGCCATATCAGTGTTCTGAGTTGAGTCAGCCCCACAGAGCCCACACAGCTATGAATGCCCTGAAGACATCGTGTGTCTAGATGTATACAGTCATCAACCAAATCCAAAGTACTGCCATCCTGAGAGGTCCTGCAGGAGTGGTCAGCAGGGCATGACTGAGCATGATTGTCTCCTCTCCCTAAAAGCTACACCGTAATTTTATGATGCTGTGTTGGTTCCCTGTGCTTCTTCATTTTTACTTTTTTTTTTTCCATAGTGTGAGCACTAAAGCCTTTGACATGGAAAAAACCTGAGTATCTCTTAGGGGGAATAGTGAGAAAGGCAACAGCTTAACTCCCACTTCTCAGCTGACCTGAAAAGAAAGGTACTGGAAGGTGAACAGCTGTAACAGAAAGGAGCGTTAACTCAGTCCCTGGGTACATCAGGGGGACAAGAACAGCCCATGGCAGAGGAATGACCCTTAACTCTTAACAACTAGACACTGGGGGCTCCTTTGATACTGAAGCACCTCAGGCCTCTGCTCAGACCCTCATTCAGAGACCCTAGAGAGAGCAATCCTCTCTGAGTTTCCTTTCCTTCAATTTAGATCTCTCTTTGGGACCATGACAACATCATTTACCTTTGTTCAGGACACAAACCCTTGCATAGACAGAGGCTTCGAGAAAGACTCAGGGAGCACAGTGTACAGAGCAGAAAATGTGGCAGCAGTCAATGGGCAGCTTCCTCTTACTCAAAATGCAAAATAAAACAAAACACAACATCTTCCCAGACCACAAAGCATGGAACAAAATCTGAGGGGCCTCCTTCCCCGTCTCCCTGAGGTCCTGTTTTTGTCATGATCCCTTGGGAAAAGAGAGGGGATGATTCTCCAAGGCTCAGAAAGTTTCCCCAACTTGCCACAGCCCTCCTACCAGCATAGAAGTATCTTTTGCCTGGAGATCACACTCCACTTTCAGGACGAAGCCCCACGCCATATCCCCTTTCCCATCTCACCCAGGCCTTCAGTGCACAATCACATGCACACAACTTGTGTAAAGTACCTTGAATGCTGGTTGCCAGGAACAAATGAGGCAGCATTAGAAGTTCCAGAGCCAGACACCACTCCCACCTTTGGGAGCACATGTTACTTCCCAGGAACGCTAGAGACAGGCCAGAACCAGGCTAGAAAGGGACTAAGGGCTCCAGAGCCCTTGAAATCATGGCCCAAGGTTAGAGAAACACTCGCTGACCTTTTAGACACTCAGGAACTCATGGGTGGAGCCTGGAGACCAAAAACAGGAAGCCCCCATATCTGAGAGCACCACGGAAGCAAAATGAAATTAACTATTCTGTTTGAACGTGCAGTTGGTTCTGTTTTCTGGAGAGAGGATCCATAGCTTCTGTTGGATTCTCAGAGGGGTCAGTGCTCAGAAAAGATTAAAGTCCAAAAAAAAAGAAAAGACTAAAGTCTCCTGATAGAGAATATCTGGCTTTGGTTTCCCAGGCATGAGTCACCCTGATTAATCCAGAAGTTAAAATTAGTAGGTACTCACCAAGACTGCAGGGGATTTCTGGCCTGAGCCAACCCTAAGTCATGAGAGGAATAGGTGATATGTAAGTGTCATTCAGAGCAGAAAATGTAGGAAATCAGGTCTCCCATGTCCTAAGCCCCACCCTCAGGCTCCTCCTCCTTTATGATAAAGTTACTTCTTGTACCCTTACATTGGCCTATCTACTGAACATTAGTAGAAAAAGCAAGATTACTTGGCCCAAATGAATGGATTTCCCAGCCTTGTGGTCTAAGAAATTTCAGACCCATCCCTCCTGAATATAAATGAATTATTTGCCCACCTAGGGCACTTTGGGGACCCATAAGGCAAGCCACAGTCCCTAATACAGCATATTTGTAGCTATTTCTGAATTGGAGACACTCCTGATTCAACATAGAGGAGCCCAGTAAAAACACTGCTCTCCTCAATCTGTGAACTCCTATGATAGAAGTAGTTACCCTTCCCCAAGGGAGCAGCATGGGGAAACTGAGTCAGCCCAATGCCTTAAATTGCACATGACACCCCATTCACTTGAACACATGGAAGCCCTGTGAGGCGAGAAGGGCAGGCATTATTGCCTGCACTTTATAACTAAATCTGAGTCAGACCAATGTTCAGCTCCAATCCACCCCAATCTTCAACTCCTCCCCCCGTGAGGGCTACCGTAAATCTTTGCACTAGAAGAGAACATAAGACAGGAGTAGAATGAGCTAAGTTGAAATGGAGTTAGCTAGGGATGATTTTAAAGACAAATAAGAAAAGTTAGCTAGGGAAGATTTTAAAGAAAATTATAAAAATTATTTTAAAGAACATTTTAAAGAAAATGGAGTTATCTAGGGAAGATTTTAAAGAAGCTGAGGAGGAGGAAGAGGCAGTCACAAGGGCAGAGAAAGAGAAAAGGAAGGAAGTGAACTGTGGGTGGGCTTTACTCAGACCCTGCTCCTCCAGGGAGTTTTCAAAAGGGTTTCAAAAAGGTTGCCACCCAGTGAAGCATTTGAGGCTAGCCAGCAGGGAGTTACAACACCTATTTCCAACCAGAGTAGGGGCTCTACTCTTGCTGGCTGGCCTCTCGATGGCTCCAGTAGGGGGCAGCGCAACACTGCAGTGTGGGAGTAGGCTCCAGCTTGGACACACCCCAGGGAGACTGAAAGACAATATCCTGGGGGCAGGCTTAACATTTAAGAGGCGAGCAGAACAAAAGAATGCTAAAGAGGAAAATGAGAAGGATCCATCAGATAGTCTAGGAGGAACTGATGTTTGAAAAAACTGTATCTTGGTCATGATCCCAGGGTCCTGGGATGGAGTCCCACATCGGGCTCCCTGCTCGGCAGGAAGCCTGCTTCTCCCTCTCCCACTCCCCCTGCTTGTGTTCCTGCTCTCGCTACCTCTCTCTGTCAAATAAATAAATAAAAATCTTAAAAAAAAAAAAAAACTGTATCCAGATTAGCAGAAAGTGTATCCATTGCATTTTTTCTTTTTTTTTTTTTTCCTGTTTTTCTTTTTATTTGCATCTATTTTATGCAGAACTTACTCCCGGGCCGTAAGTTTTTGTTTCTTCAGTTTCTTCTGGGATATCTTTTTCTTCTGTGAAACCTCCTCTTCTGGTTTAGGAGCAATCTGCTCTTTTTCAGGAAGGATCATCTCAGTGTGGCGGGGAGAGCTCATGTAGGGGTGAATCCGACCATGAGTCCTGTAAGTTCTGTGCCACATCTTGGGGGCTTTGTTCACCTGGATGTGCTCAATGACCAGAGAATCTACATCTAAACCCTTAAGTTCAGCATTATTCACTGTGTTTTTAAGCGTGTGCGGTAAAATTCAGCACTCTTTTTGGGCCACCGACCCTGTGTCCAGCCCCACTGTTTGGCCTGGGCACACCTCCTAACTCCACCATTGCAGCGACATTGCTTTTGCAAAGTGACATCCTTCAGATACTTGGTGGCTTTTCGGATCTGCATACCCTTGACAGCCTGGGCAATTTCATGTGTGTTCTTCAAGTGAACATGAAGATTTGAGCCTCTTGATTTGCATGATTTTGTAGGGTTTTCTGGGTCAAGTGAATAACAAACATTTTCAGAGATCACCTCAGGCCGCTTAGGGGAAAAGCTATCCGTTGCATAATTGTGTGGTCACTAGTGACCTTAATCTTGGTAAGAGCCATTCTCGTGGAAGCAGAGGCCAGAGTCTCCTCTCCCCTTCTCCTTTCTCCTCCTCCCCTATATCTATTAGGTATTTCATAAGCTCTACATCATATCTGAAGATGTAGAAATGAAAGCTACACTCTTGCCTGCTCTTACGCAGCTCATAGTCTTGTGTTAAAATGCGGTTGTGAAATGGGGAATTATGGGGCCACATGGAAGGACCACCCAACACAAACTGTGTGGTCATGGGAGGCTGCTGGAAGACAATGAATAGGTATGACTCCTTTGAAGAGTAAGGGAAGTGTGTTACATAAGGAAGATGAACATGATAACATCTGAGAAGCCAGAGAACTTGGCTAGTTCAGGAAACTGAGGATATTTTGTGTGACTGAAATAAAAGGAAAGGAAAGGAAACCAAGTCCAGCCCTAAGGTTTGGTGTGTGCAGTTAGGAGTTTGGATTTCAGCCCGACCCCTTTCAAGGGGAGGTATGTAAAGGATTTTGAGCAGATGGGTGATATGCTTCATTCCACAGGTTAGAGAGAAAGCTGACGAAGAGGAGCATGAGACTAGAAGCAAGACGTTACAAGAATCCAGCTACACAATAATGAAGGTTCAGCAGCAGCAGCAGTGGAGAAGTGACAGGAATAAGTCAGAATCAGCAGACCTTGATACTTGGTTTTGTATGGGGGAGGTGAAAATGGGAAAAGGAAGAGCCTGCTCGCTGGCTTGGGTGACCAAATCAGTGGATGGGGACATGAGGGTAATCTCAGTATGGGATATGTTAAGATTAAAATGTCTGAAACAGACTTGAATATGTGGATCTGGGGCTCAAGAAAGAGACCTGAGCTGTGTACCATATATGGACCATATATGAATAGACAGCAAACAAATTGTGGTTGAAGTCATACATTACAGGAAGGATCTCTCTTGGGAAGAATATGTAAAGTGAAAAGGGGATTGAGTAGGAAATCCCCCCATGTCTTAGCCCATTCAGGCTATTCTAACAAAAATACCAAAGACTGGGAGGCTTGAACAACAAACATTTATTTCTCACATTCAGGAGACTAGGAAGTCCAAGATCAAGGCACCAGGGATTGAGTATCTGGTAAGAGCCCACTCACTAGTTCATAGATGGTCTGTGCGTTTGTGTGGTGGAAGGAACGACAGAGCTCTCTGGGGCCTCTTTTAAAGGACAGTAATCCCATTCATGAGGACTCCACCCCCATGACCCAACCATCTCCTAAAAGCCCCACCTCCCAATATCATCACATTGGAGATTAAGTTTCAACATGTGAATTGGGGGGGGGGGGGAGATAGGACAACCCCAGACACAAACTTTCATTCAATAGCACCCTGGTAATACTAATATTTATGGAATGGTAAAGGAAGAGGCATTTACAAAGATTCGCTAGAAAACTGGGAAGAAATTTAGAGCATTTTAAAGGAAGTTAATAGGAAATGAGAAAATTCAAAGAACTGAGGTATTCACAACATCAAATGCTGCAGAAATGAAATGGAATACAGTTACGGAGATTTGTCTATTGCAAAGTATACAAACGGGTAAATTACAGAATGAGAATAAGGAAATGCCCAATACACAAGAAAAATGCACATTCATTCTAGGAATCAGGGAAATGGAAGTTAAACAAATAATGATAATATTACCTATTAAATTGGAAAAAAATAATTTGTTAGATTCCAGTGATGAAAAAATTAAAGGAAACCAGACACACTGTTTATGGGAATATAAATTGTGCAATCTTTTTGGAGGGAAATTTGGTGTTTCCTGTCAAAATTTTAACTATCTAATACCCTTGGTACTTCGTTCTACTTGTAATAATCTATATACAAACATCCTGGCACAATGGCACAAGGATAAATGAAACATAAAATGATGTTCATTACAACATAATTTATAATGAGAGAAGTTGGAAATAACAAATACCAACCAATAGGAGGCTGGATGAAAAATTATGGTATAAACACATTCTTGGGAAAATATGGAGCCATAATATAGAATGAGACAGAACAGAATGTATTGATCTAAAAGGAATGTCTATGATATATTGCTGAGGAAAAAAATTATAGGCATAACCTATGATAGACTCCTGTTTTTGTTAAAATCTGTGAATGTGGAGAGAGTTGTGTGTTATATAGTTTATATGAATACAAAAAAATTTGAAATAATTTACATAAAACTGGAAACTAGTGTCTAACTCAGGGATGGGGTGGGAAATTTGAGTAAAGCTTTACCCTTTATTATTTGATTTTTTACAATAAACATTCATATTCTGTGTTCCAATTCTCATCTGTTACCATATATTCAAAAGGAATAAGGTCTCCATTGGATTTAATAAATCATCACTTTCAAATGAATCCTGAGAGAAAAATCTGTTTTCATTGAGTAGAGAAATAAATGAGACGTGAAGAAGTGGGTATGTGAAATCTAAACAACATTGTTTTTTATTTTTATTTTTTTTAATTTTCTTCTAGATTTTTATGTGGATTTTTTTTTTCCAAATTTTTATCTAAATTCTAGTTAGTTAACATA